CATAAACTCGTCCTCCCTATTATGTCATATTTCTGACTCTCTCCTAAGCATTCCACACCCTTTTCCCCGCTCCCATTGCAGACACCGCCAATGCACCTTCTAAAAGTATCACAAAGGCAATGAGCCTAGTGACTTTTAGTAATCACCTATATGCTCAGACCTCATGTCACTTGTCAATTTAAAGATCCCCTTTTGAAATATATCCAAGATCTGAAGTATTACTGTTATACCCGAGACACCGATACCTTGTAGACACGAAAAAAGGCACTTTAAAAACTACTCTTACACCGACTTGAGAGTTTCTAGTTACATCTGAGCAGATAGTAACTCATACCTATAGGAGGTAACGGGCTGGGAGGCTGAAGATATGGACAAGGAAGCAGGGAATGGCTTGACGTAGAAAGTGAGAGTTCTTGTTACTGCTCCTTTTGAACAAACTCATCGGCTTTCCTCTGCTTCGACTTTAATAAGCCATCTTGCCAATTGCAATCAATCACGAGACAGGAAAAAATAGAACTTCCCATTGACGGGGGAATACTACTTAATTAGCCAGTAGTAGCAAGTGACTCAAATTAAGTTGGGATTTGGTTAATATCGAGGTTTTGGAAGGGGACTACGCTTCAGAACGGGCTGATTAGAGAGAAGGGAGCCAAAGACTGGACGATGTTCTGCAACGAACATACTTTGTGCACCAATCAGGGTTTGTAAAAAAAGTTAACTCAATGTCACCCGGAGAATGAGTGTCACCTCTTAGGTATAAAATTCAAATTTCTGTTGAATTCCGGTTTTTATCCATTGCCAACTATCATGCTTAGTTCGAGATTAGGATGTCTGGTCGAAGGTGGACCCATTCCAATAGTCTTCGCTTAATGAGTTTCTGTGTATCCGGCAATGAGTTACTGAGGTTTGAATTTGTTGGCCAGCCAAAGAAGTAATGACTGTTTGTCTTTATAATCGTGTTCATCGACCACTACTGCCAATTTAGAGATCCAAGTTATCTTACAAAATGCAATATAGAGGTATCAGTGAGGCCGAGATAATCGTTTTATGATGTTCGAAAATTTCCCGGTTCAGCAGTTGTTATTACCTAAGTGAGGCAAAAAGTTTCCAAGGATTACTTGTCACTTCATCTCAAGATAATGAGGATGCATCCAACTCCAGGAAAACGTTTCTTCCTAAATTCCCCGAATTGGCTCTTTCGGTGGCTAATTTCCCGAGCACTTTGTGATCTCACCTTTGCTGATTCCCTTCTAAATGGCTGAATCACTTTGAATCCAAGGTCGTTCAGTCCCAGTAAGTATATAGGCCCCATACGACCTAGTGACCCGGTGTCAGCCTCTGGCAATCTCCACTATTCATTCTTCAGGCCCCTGCACGGCACGTCTTACCTTCACGTCTGCGCTGACTCATCCATGCTGCTCGATAACGACTTCTGCACTTGAGTCTTGTCCATCGATTATTGGGTTGGGAGATCGATAAGATCCAGGCCACTCCAGCATAGATACCTCAGTTCGTAATAAATGATGACGCACTTTATAGCGCTCTGATTGGTGAAATCAATCCAAAGCCATGGCCACGCCGTTACTATAAGAGGCATGACTATTACGACTGAGTGACTCAGACACATCCTCCGCTGACCTCCACTAGTCGAATCCAGGCCACTTTAACACAGAAATTTTAGCTTTAACAAGTCGGTGACGCAGTTTTATTCTGCTGTAAGGCAATTAACACGATAGGACTTGAAAACATCTGTTATAAAGCTGCTATGAAAATTATGTGAAAATGGGTGGATTGCGCAAATAAATGGTGCCCTTACTGCACTCCCAGAGGTGAAGTAGAAGCCGGATTGACTGCTTAGCGCCGCGGAAATGAAAAGGGAGGAACAAGCAGACTATGGGTTTCGTGGAGGTGCCACTAATATTTTGGTAAGTGGACTGACTTTTAGTCAAACAAAATGCACTATCTGAAGGGGATCGGCACACCAAGAGAGGTAAAATGGCAGTGCAGTTCATAAGAAAAGCGTAACTCTGAACCAAATGGAATCGACTAGCTGCAACATTAGTGTCGGAAGTAGGCAACTTGTTGATCTTGTCAAGGATTAAATCTATAACCTACGAGGGCTGTCTTTAAAGTTGTTATGCTCAAGTGCGACTACAGGAGAGCCTAGGAAGACGATTAAGTCATACTAGATTGAATTGTTTGTTTGGGGCTTTGGGTCGTCATCTCGTCTCTATTGAGCCTGGTCCATGCTAGTAAATTTCCACCAGATCCGTTCATACTAGATCTATGTATCTGATATATTCTGCAGAGAGAACAAAGCAAAGGAGTTAAGCATGCAAATATTGGCGTATGGATGTGTGAAAGCCGGGGAAGGAATGGAACTATGTGGTGGGGGTTTTCTCGAGCACGGATGGTCACATGGCGTACGCGCCAAGTCATCTAAGATGGAGTGTCGATCTCTACACTAACGTGTTCAACCTACTTGTAGTACCCGTCGTCATCACACTCCTCTCGCCGATGAGACAGTACCGCTGTCAAGATGGGTCCTACCATTATAGGAGGAGGAGGAGGAGGGGGGGAGGA